AAAAAAAATAATTTAAATTTTTATTGATCAGTAGTTAAGAAATATTATCAACAACTTCATTTTAACGATTTGTTAAATATAAAAACTTTATAATTCTTCTTATGTCATATCTGTAACGATGCTAGACCGATCATTAACCAGGGAAATTTATTTGAACCGACTTTTAATGTATAATTAAAACTGAATATCTATTGTCGTTCATTTATTCCAAAAATCAATCAAAATTCAATTAACTTTATATCAAACACAGATATATATATATATATGTGTGTGTGTGTGCATAATATATTCAACTGATATAATTGAATATTTCATGTTAGTTCAAACAACAAAAATCAATAGGGACTACTCTTTTCTTTTCTTTTCCGAAAAGATTAATTATTTTGACACATATACAATCTTCATAATTTGTTCATTTTTTCAATTAGCTTTTAAGTCAAATTTTTCTTTTTCCATATGGAATAATGATAAAAAATTGAGCTTATTCTCTCTGTTGAGAATATGGAATTTTTTAGTAAAATTCGAATACTCTTCTTTTCTTTCATCTATTAAACCTTTGTTAAGACTATTATTTTCGATTTTTATCATACTCTTCTTTCAGAAATGAGGTTACATTAGTCAGGAAAAAAAAATATGCAAACTAAAGAAACTTTTTTTTTATCTCACTCTAAGTTTCTCATCGATCATCATTATTAGTATTATTGTACAACATATTCATCCTTAATAATTCTATAGTGATAAAAATGACTGGTTTTTGTTTTATTTTTTTTTCTTCGCTTCTCTCTAACACAAGTACCTCTATATATATACACTCATACTCGCTTTATTAGTTAAGATGAATCTTTATTTATATAAATAAATATACACGTCATATGTTTTTACTATGTTGATGAACATACATACTGTATAATTTAGCTAACTACGACTGGTTTTTCATCACCTCTCTCTTCTCTCATGAAAGATGTAAAAAGAAAAAGAAAAAAAAAAAAGAGTGTCGGACTAATGATTATCAAAAACATTGACACTCTTTTTTTTTTTCTCAATGACATCATCATCACTGTTGTTTTTCTAAAAGATAGAAAGACTGTTCACTGATGTTTACATTTTCTTTAACAACATAAAACATAATGAAACATACATCTTAATCTTTTATCTTAATCTACTTTTTAATTCAAAATATTAATATCAATGGAGATCATCGTTCGTTGTCTCGTCCATTGCTATACTTAACTCAACGTAATATGTTAGTTGAGTAAAAAAAATAAATTTATTATAATATGTTTGAACACATGCGCTTATGCATGTCGAGACATGTATATATCGATGAATGAATAAATAGATGGGTGTGTAAGGAAGAGAGTATTAGAGTAGAGTTTAATTATTATTATTTTGTTCATTTCTGAGTATAAAAGATGAACTTATTTATTCTTATTGTCAGATTATTAGAATAAAACAGATGAATTGTTTGTGTTGCCAAAGCTGTTCCCAATCTCAAAATAAATATTATCCAAAAGAAAAACGGCCTATATCAAGAAATAGTAAACGACAGAATTATTATCTACAGCAACAACAAATCAAAAGTGAAGGTAAGTGTATATTTTATTGTTACTGTGGAATATTTTTGATAATCGTAAGTGATAGACTGTTTACTAATAATCACAGCTTTTCTAACTGCTAACAATATCTCACAGGTCTATGATTGAAAATTTAAAAGAGTCTCAATATTTTCTATTAAGACTTTTATGGACGTATATGTATGTTTTTTCACTAATATCTCAGAATGAATTCAAAAAATTTTCCACTTCATTATATCATTTCAAAAAAAGATCAAGAAGAAACACGTTTTGTTTGTTCTCAAGAGAAAACGTATTTTATCGTATAAATATTTTGTCCAAACATTATCACAAACTGTAGTTGATTATGTTTATTAAGCACACATATTGTAATTCACTCTCCATGTTTTTGTTATTTGTTCCTTGATACTAATAAATGTTGTTTGTAGGAGGATTATACAAACGAAGCATCTTGGCCTTATTCTTTACTGTAGACGACCCCCTTCTTTAAAGATATTTATAGTTAAAAATATAAAAAACAGTAAATTACAGAAATTAGTTCAATGTTCATAAGAGTAGATTTCTTTATTATTCATTTAGTTGTAGCGGTACTCTGCATCATTCTTTGAGTTCGTCATTAAACTAAAATCAACATCATTTAATAGATTATGTTTAAATGTTTCAGTTTGTTCAATCGTACACAATTGTTCAAAGACTCCTTTATTTGAAATATATTTATATCAGAATTGAAATCTATTTTATTTTCAAATGATCTAAAGTAAATCTTTTCTAATAAATAATTTGTAAGTGATATTATCTGCAATTTTTCTTAATTGAAAATAACTATTTTCTTTCGTTCATCTGTTCTATATCTAACATGGATAATTGTAATCAAACTCTTTTTAATGGAAAAACGAAATTAGTCAGAGAATTCATGCATTTGTTAACCGTATCATATTATAAAATGATCGACTTTTCTCTCTCTATCTCTTTCTCTATTAAGTAATAGACAACGATGACGATGTTCATCCATAAGTACAAAATAAATATTCAGTGAAGAGTTACGTTTTTTGTGTATATTTTCAAACAGATAAATGAAAGGAATAGACAAAGAAGAAAAAAAATGAACATATAGACATAATACATTATCAAACTTAACTTAAACGGCAGGAGAGGAATATTATCATCCGATTTTGTCATTTGTCTTGATGTATTTGACAGTATAAATTTGACATTTTAAAATTTATGAATGTAACCAATTACAGACTAGATTACACTGAGTTATAAAACCAGCTAACCTGTTGCAAATTTTTAAGGATCTTGTTCTGATCAGTAAGTCTATATAAAAAATGAAGCTCTGTGACGATCTGGATAACGAATTTATCTACTAAATAAAATAAAGTTTTTGCTCAACAATGAAGTGAAATCAGAGAAAAGCTTCTTAGAAAATCGAAAAGAAATGAAATATTCGCTTTTTAGATATAATGGCTTCAATATATGTTGTATACTCTGAGACGTTGTGTAGAAGTCCAAACATTGCAGCGATTCTGAGAGACACCTCGTTCTATATAAAAATATTTGCTCTTCAACGTATTATCTGAAGAATCCATTTTTTTTTAAAATGTATATGCGTTGAACACAGTATTCTACAAAAAATGATTCATTTTCTCAGTGCTTAGAAATCTTATTAAAACCACTCAGAAATCTTTATTCTGATCAAAAACAACATTGATTCTAAGAGTATACTTTGCATTATCTAACCTTGTCATCATCAGAAAAATATCAACTTTATATATAATGTTTCATATTTCTGAAGAGAACGAAGGATTTTAAATGAATACAACAAGTATTTTTTCAATACGTGTTATATTAAGGCCTTTTCTTCTCTTCTATATTTAGCGTCGGATCTTTTGTAAATGTTATATAGATTCATGTTGAAGAATGAGATATTACACCGTTGTCCGTTTTGAGAAAAACTACAATTTAATAGAATGCATCTTGTTCAATACTCTTGATTGTACATAACGATAATAGTCTGTACAAAATTGGTTTATATATATATGTTCTTCTTTTATACTCCTCCTGTTCTCTCTTTCTCCTTGCCCTTTACTTCTAAATCCTCAATTGATATAAAGTAATGATTTGTTTACAAAGATGAACATTGGCATTTTGCAATAGTCTACGATTGATCTATTTTAAAATTTTGAGCATTCTGTTTCGTCTATTATCCATAAATTTGAATATATACCTTCTAGAATGAACCAACATTTACAGTTTAGAAATAGTATTTAGTAGTCTTTTAACATGATTAGACATGAACATGAAATATCGTGAAAAAACCATATTCCTCCCATTGACTAAATCTTGTATTTTGAACTTAGCTTCTTCAGATTGTGAATCTGATCTTGCGATTATATAAGATGAATGTTAGCCGTTCTATATACATGACAGTTATCAAAATTCATTCAAGTGATGCTCAATTGTACATAGATAGTAAAAGATAATCGACTGATATAAGTACGCACGATAACGATAAGTTGAAAGCGTATATATATCAATCTTATTGTTTCCGATTGAGATAGTCAAGTGAACATCTTTTTGAAATTAGAAAAATTGATAAATGAACCGTACAATTGAAACATATTTAAGAGCGTCTAATCAATATTTTTCTCTTAAAAAACGATTATCAGCCAAATTACTTTGGGGACTGCTAACGGACCCATATTAAACAACTTAATTTTTTTTTCCTCAATTGTAATTCTTCATAATTATAATTGTTTACATTGTTGTACCCTTCAGTTCTGCGAATTTTATGTGAACTGGAACAGAATGGTATTTAATTTACAGACTTAAAGCGTTAATAGTAGTTAAATACACATCTGTTCAAATGATGACTATCTGTTTTCATCATATTGTATAAATAAAAACGGAATACGTTGAACAACATTAATCAATCTGACTTGTGTGTGTTTATATGTGAAAAAAAAATAGGAAAATATCCATACGTAGCAAAAGAGAGTATACCACATCTAAAAACAGACAATTGCACGAAAACACAAGAAAAAGAATTTTTTTTTGTGTACACAGATATCGTTCATTCATGTTATTCGAAGGTTATGTGTAGTATTATTTTATTAATAGAATAATCAATCTGATCTAGACCATATTGTTCAAACTTTTCTTCCTTCATTCTCTCTTGTTGCCGTTCCGTATATAATTATAAGTTGCTTACTTTTCACTAAAAGATTAAGATATGTCTCAAACTTGTCATTGCGTTGTTTCTCTAACATTTAATAGGGATTTATTTCGAGAATGTGATCTATGCCCGCCTGGTTAACTCTTCTTCTAGTTATTTTCATTTTTTTGATCTCGTCACTTGAACTTTAAATAACAAAAAAAGAAGAGTGACAATAAATTTCTTGAGAATAAGAGCCGATTAATGTAATAATGGTTGATGATCGTACAGCTCAATTATATCAAAAAATTACACTTATATCACTTTGTGCTAATTATAAAGGTATGGCATATTTAATATTGATTTTTTAACAGTTTATCAACATATCTCAGTGTGTGAGGAAATATTTTGTTATTCAATAATCTCTAAGGTGTGATAATTGTATGAGCTTAGAATAGTCCCTTCGGTGAACATTCACCCTGAATGATGATGCTAAAGAAAAAAATCACAGCTTATTTTAAGCAAAAAACATCTTTTTTTCTTCTAGTAGTGTGATATCGAATAAATATAATTAATGTTCAAAGTTTTTGCAGCATTTAAGATAGACTTATGGCATATTTTTACTATCTGCTGATGTAAAAACTTTAGAAAATATATTAAGATTAATTTATGGCAGTAAATTTTGTGACAGCTTCCTTAATTGACATCCGTAGATAACGTAAAGTGACGTAACCTTTGTCTTCATGGTTAATACCATTTTCTTTAGTTGACACTATTCGAAATATTATAGAAACTTCAAAAGATTGGCATAAATATATATCACTCTACACATTTGATCGTCTTTGATGTTATAATAAAAAAATAATGGAAAAAAGATCAAGAGAATCTGGAAAATTCATCATAGACAGAAAGATTGATTCTATACGATGTCTGTTTAATATCGAATCGAACTTGTTCGAAGATGAATCATTAAATGATGCTTGACTAAATTTTCTGTAGTAATAGAGTGTAGTTTTAAAAAAGAGAGCACTCTTGTGTCGATGGTTTCCAACGTCTGAAAAGTTGGTTCAATTTAAATTAGAAATTCCTAATGCGTAATGAAATTAGTAAAAGAAAACCTTATGATCAATATAATCGATAATACAATTTCTTTTCAATTTCTTTTTAAAGGTACAATCTCGTGTAATAGTCTTAGCTGCATAAGTGATGTACAAAAGCCATTACAATCACAAAAACGTATTCATCAACGAAATAGTAACAATAATAACAATAACAATAATAATAATAATCACAATGATTCGATAGTTAAAACAAATCGAAAATGGCAACAACAAATAAAATTTTATGTTTACGATTTAAGTCGAGAAAAATTGATTAACTTTATTTGTGATGCTGAAGAAAAAAGATTATTATTATTTAACAACTCATCAGAAAATATCTACAATCATGGAATACGAAACGGTAAGTTAAAAACAATTATCCGAATGCATGTAATCTTACTTTTCTGCAATGTATAGACAAGAAAAATATTTCTTGAAAAAAGATATAAATAATTTAAAATGCGGGTTTTTTGTGTCACCCGAGAACAACACCGCCGTTGATGACATTTGTTAAGGGAAGATAAAAAGTGTTGAAAGAAAGACAAAGGAAGGACAGTTGTTCTATTCATGCAGAACGCTAAGAAGAACACTTTTATTTTCAACAATTGGTGCCATAAATATGACACACAAAAACTGAAGTACTGCACCTGCTTTCCGCCTGTAGAAAGATTTGAGGAGGCAATTCAAGAAAATGACAAAAAATTTGAGCTGAAACTAAGGTTTTTCTGATAAATAGACATGTTTTTTAAGCATAACTTAGTGAACTGTAGGTGATAAGAAGGTTGTAGCAAGAAACAAATATAAGAATCCCCTATTTGATGGAAAAATAGATTATCAGCGAGTGCTATTTTTAGTTAATGGTCATGTCCGGCAGAAACTTTGAATTGAATGTTGATTTTTTCCGTTACAACTCATACTTACGTCTGAGTTTTTTTCATGCACCATGATCTGTTACCAAAATAAAGCGATAGATAGAACAAACTATAACTACTTATTATAAAACTGTATACAATTCAGATGATTGTTCCAAAACAAATAGCTAAATTATCTAAGCTGCGAGGAACTCCATAAACTGCGGTACTGGTTAATTATAAATGATTCACGAATCGGCCGAAAATAGTTAGACTTCATAAAATTGCTAAACAGAATATTTTCAACAGAATATCCGAAGAACATAAAAAGGTCTTGCTGAAAGAAAGACATAGATCCTGGTTCAAACCTCTGACGGATTCAGCCAGCAAGTCACCCGTATCGTTTGAGAAAAAAACTTCGAAATATTAAAAGGAACAATTCTTGATTGGAAAATTACGTACGTTTCTGCATGTACTGCTCTAAAAGTTTATTACCTCCCATCCTAAAAATTGTTTTCTGGTCCATCCCATGGCTTCTTCTTATATGACATGTTTTAAACATGTAGAATAGAACAAATGGGAGAATAATGAATTTATTTACATTTATTGTACTGTCAAATATAAGAAGAATATAGGTTATTTTGAAAGATTGAAATAAAAGAATGTGAAGCATTTTCTGAAATATTTGATGATGAGTCGGTATATAATCTATAGCGAAAAATTACCGATTATTAATTATTCTGGCTAATCTAGTTGTCTAGAAATTATTCTAAAAAGTTGATTAAAATCAAAACGATAGCTCTCCTTCATTTAGGTGATATTCTCGTATTTTTAAATGGAAAAAACACTATCTCATCACCATTAGAACAAATTAAAAATGATATCGCGATTTTGTATGCCCACAAAGAAAAGATTATTGTTGGTACATGTCGTTTGCCGTCGGATAAATCCTCTCCTAATACCATTGCCACAACAGTATCTTATCTTGAATCATTGAAATTTGATGAGTTTTCTAATCTTGCTACAAATGATCTTGGAAACAAGCTCATAACGAAAACAAAATCGTCTGGACAACTGGGAGAATCACGAAATATATTATCATTATTAAATCCATTTACAAAAAGGCGACGTTTGTTAACTATGAATGGAGAACAAAAAGATGATGGAGATTCGGCAATTGTTCTCGTTCAAAAAGATCTCAGTCAAAATCAAAAAGCAAAAAGAAATCCCAGTCCAAATCGAGATAGTGGATTCATTGAGACGGACGGTAATAATTCTTATGAGCTAAATTAATAGAATTTATATATATATTTTTTTCTTCTTCTAAAGGTACAAATGCATCACTCTTAACACAGCACAGCGGTAGTTCAAGATTAAGAAGTAAAACATCTTTGGAAAAAAGTGATAGTCGAGATGAATTATTTGAATCATTACCACCATCATTAAAAAATGGAATTTTAAATTCAAACAATCATACTGGTGATCTACTAACAGCCACTACTCCAGATACCATTACAGTCATGCCAGAAATTTCTGGACTAAAGTAAGCAATGAGAGATTGAGCAATAATGACTTATGCTATTTTTTATGAAATGAATGAAATCAGACTGTAGAATATCGACTTATACTCAGTACAGTTTGCATACCGAACAGTATATATATTTCATTTTAGATATTCCGACTTATTATCTGAAAAATATAGAAAATCTCGTCGTGAACTTCTAACAACGTCAATGACGGATGCTTGTAATATTTATACGTATCGTTCAAATCCGGTTCGTCATCACGATGAAGCTATTATTCTACGTGGACGTGAAATTGCCTATGAAGCAGCAAATGCTTCTTCACAAATTTTATATGATAATAAGTCGATAACAAATGAAATTGAACATAAATATCGTTTCCCAATCGTACAAAGTTATACAAAAGATCAGATACGTGAATTGTACGGTGAATTAGATGAAAAAACTCGACTTTTAAAAAGAAATCATTTCACAAAACAATACCAACAACCACCGATCGATGCTTGGGATGAAAAATTACTTTTACCTTTTGCAAATTTAGATACATATTGTGTTAAACGTACAGATTTTATACCAAAAGGGAATTGGGATATTGATCTACCATGGGAACAAACACTGCCGAATGGGGAAAGTAAAATTATTAAAGGTAAATTTGAATGCCCATTACCAAAACTTCGTCTTGACACAGACAATAGTAAAAATCATGATTTTTTAACAACTGGGTTATCAAATCTCCGGCCAGATACATTACAATCATTTTCGTCGTCCGATAAACAAGTATTGAACAGAAATAATATAAATATCTCGTCACCGTATGATGAATTATCTCTAAAACCAATTATTGAAGAAGATCTCAATACTAACTCGCCTGTTCATTCGGTAAAAGGCAACTTCCAAACATCTCCAGGATCACCGTTGTATGATAATAGATGTATGAATGTATTCAATCCTAATCCCATCACCTTCTCTGGAACACCAACAGGAGAACAAAAAAGTTTTGTTCAGAGTATACAAGATAATAACAAAGCAGCAACAACTGAAATGAATTCATCAGAACAAACCGATGAAATACACGATAAACCACAAAAACCAAAAAAGCCCACATCAATTGATTTGTCTCCAACTTCGTCTGAACAAGACTTCATTAGTAAAAGTAATTTGACAACACCTGGATCATGTGGAATGTATTTAGAACCGTACATGCGTCGATTATACAATATAGATGATCATTGGCATCACTCAAAACTGACAATAAACTCGACGGATTTTGAATATCCGGAAGTTAGAGGAACGAATCAGACCCCGACTAATGGATCTGCGCGCCTACCGTCAACCGAATTTGATGTAAGTTTAATTGAATATGTTTTTCTTTCTCCACTAACTGTACTCATAAGCAATTACAACACATTAGTAGTATGCTTATTTGTTCAATAACCACCTTATAGAAATATTATGAATATTTTTAGGTCTCTTCATATGGAAGCATAACGCCAACAAACGGTAAAAAGACGCCTACAACAACTCAAACCGAATTTCACAGTATATTGGACTTAGAAACAACATCATCAAATGGAGAAATGTCGTATCATACAGCTGGGAGCAATGATAGTAGAAAACAATTAGTAAGAAAAGATAATGATGTTCGCATACAAAAAGAAAATGAACATTTACATTCAACAACGTCATTTACTAATGATCCAAGTGACAATACGTCAAAACAATTTAAATTCGATGTATATGAATCATTCACTTCGCCCGATGATAGTTATTATGATGCATTAGCATCTCCGATTATGATTGAAATAGACTCTATATCACCAATGACGAACAATTTGAGTTCATTAATTCACCAGATAAATGAAATAAATCGAAGTGAACACGTTAATACTCAAAATATTTATGATATTGTAAAATCGATATTAGAAAAATCTGATAGTGAACCAAGTGAACCCAAGGAATTAGTATCGATAAGTAACAATGAACAGTATACAACAGCCACAACGCCAACTGAGAAAGATTCATTATGTACACAATCTCAAACGGATAATTTATATAAAATTATTTTAGAAATAGATGATCTCGTAATTTTACCACCGACAAGGCCACCACCCGACGGATCAGAAAGAAAATCACCAGATAAATATAGTAGTCCTGAATCGGAGGATGAAATAATCGAGTGGAAACAACAGGATACACCTAGTGTTAATAATTTAGCGACCATCATTCAAAGCATAAGACATTCAACAAAGACAGATAATATACAAAATTTAAAAAAAATAGTCGGTCAAGCTTTAAGTTATGATCATCAATCGGACACAGTGTTCGATTCAACAGATATTGCTTCACCTATTGAAGAACTGACTACACCGGACGTATTTGAATCTAAACCATCTGGCTGTATGGATGGTTTACTTTTTGTCTACGATGATCTTGTAACGCCAACAGAAGAGATTGCGGATATTGTGCCCAGTATATATGAGAAAGATACAAATGTTGAAACACAAAATTTAACTGCAATAGTTAGTTCCGTCACGGCATTGACTCAAAGACCACCAACATCATCTGGTATCAATGATTTACTTCTAGTGTACGACGACGATGATATTAGTCCCGCAGAAGAGAAACAACTGATCGATTTTCCTTTAGATTCGAATAATGTGAATAACCTAGTAAAAACTGTCGAGCTTATTTTTAAACATTCCATACAAAATGATGCTGTAGAATCAGATCATGATCAATATAAGGATTTTATGGAAATAGTCGATCAAGTTCCACATACAAACTTGTTAAATATAGTTAATGAAATCATTAAGCACCATAAAACTACATCAAGTCTAATCAGAAAAACAACATGGACAAAATCGTCTTCGTTAACTGATGCACAACAACCACAACATGTAGTTGAACAAGAATCAATAGTAGAAAATCTAAAATCAATTATTAATGAACATAATATTGCACAAGAACAATCGTCGTTACAAGACAAACAAATTCCGGTCAGTCATCTATCACAAATTGTTGGCGATACATTTCTAATTAGTTCAAAATATTCGTATCCAAAAGTATTCGGTATAATAAAAGACAATAATGATATTCAACAGTCTCAAGAACAATCTCAAGAAACTAGTTCTACATCATCGTTAAATAATAATCGTGAATATTCCGAAAATATACAACCATCAGTTTTAACCATTAATATTACGCAAAAACCTCTTACTCAACGTTTGATCGATGAAAATATCCCTGAAGAATTGTATGAAGAATATGGTTATCGTCGCATAACGAGAGATCCCGAGACAAACAGTGTCGTAGAAAAGCTTGAAGAATGCATGCGTCGTTACAAAAACACTATTAACGATTATCAAACTGCAAGTGAAAGTGTTGATAGTCAACTAAATGATATTTCAGAACGATTAAAATCAGAATTATACGACAGTAAACATGAGTTTGATGAGACACTGCCATTTGATCGAGTATCATCATCAATCTATAGTGACAGTGAAATGAGAGATACATCTGGTCGATCTTCTGCAGAAATGCAAGCACCACCGAGCAGACCGACATCAAGTTCCCACGAAACACTAGATTCGCCAATCCAAATTCGAATTACTGATATGCAGAATATGCCACAAATGCATACATTTTCAACAACATTCGATACTGTTTCGAGTAAGTACTAAAAAGTTTAATCAATTACGCAAATGACTATTCTTCATTTTTTTTAATCTTAACGGACAATATCTTAATGTTTTATTCGACTCTCACAAGTGTGAGTTCCTTTGTGCTGGAAATCAGTTTTTCACTTAACTTTAAACTGACTTGTGGTGAATAAAGTGATGAGCACATTAATATGATAGTGTTTTCATTTTCTTCGTAGATATCGAACAAGTGCCTGTACATCGAAACTATATTTCAAGTTATCCGCCTTTATCTCAAACAAACGGTAAGTAATTCTTATTTTTTTCTGGTAGATGCTTTGCTTTGGTATAGATGTGTGTATGTCATATTTAACACGCATGATACTCTTTGATATTGCATAACATGTTGTGATTTTATGGATATATTTCTTCTCAAGAACGATGCATGATCTAAACACATTGTACTATCTTTACTTTTACTATGCTTCCTATTTAAATCAACATTGTAGGATTAAGGTGTACAAAAAAGCAAAACAGGTGTTTTGTAAAATATAGTTGAAAAAAACTAATGTGAATAATTGAATCTAGCACAGAATCAAATAAAGATAATAATATTAAAAAATCTTTCATGAGATCACGATGAAAATGTGAAAAGAATTTGAGTTATAACGTCGAATCAATTGTTCAAACTATAATTATCTGTTAAATAAAGACATTAAAAGAAAAACCTTCTCATAAACAGTAGGAGAGATTTTTGAGTCAGTTAGAAACTTTGTACTATTGTGCAGTGTTCGAAAGATGTAAAATAGCATACGTATAAAAAAACTATTCTTCTCTGTCTGTAACATGTTTGGAAGGCAGAGAAGACAGCTCTTATCATTGCTGAACACCAAATATTGTCCAATATAGTTTTGGATGATTTATCGCGTTAAGATATTAAACAAAGATGCCCACAATTTATGATATAGAACGTAAAGAATACTACACCACTGATAATTCATTGGTACCAAAAATGGGTCAACTCTCGGATGCTGCTGTCGGATACATATCGGCGATGCAACCGAGACAAGTTATTATCACACGATCAGTTAAAAATTTAGGTGGTGGAAATCGAAATGTTCCATCAAAAATGAGTGTATTACAATTCCTAATAAGTAGTGCTGTACCACTACGTGGCGGATTAAGTTCAATGAGTATGCATGATGGTGATCGCTTAGGATTGATCCCGTTTACAAGTCAACGCGTCAAAGAAAAACGTTAGTTAGCTAAATTAAATGACCGTTTTACCAAATACATTGGTAAAATTCGTTATATTTGGAAGTTGTTAACCGTAAACTAAATCTAGATTTAGATAATATTCGAAATAAAAAAGGAATTGGTATGCAACGTATACGAGAAATTATCTTACATGAGAAAAAAGAAGTGAATGATACGTTAAAGAAAATGGATGATGACGTTTGTTCATCTCAAAATAAACGTCAAGAGTCTGAGTAACGCTTAAAACAAGCTGAGTAACGTCTTCAGTCTATTCAATGTCCAGATCAAATACAACACACGAATCAACAATTGAAACAATTACGTGAAAAAATAATGGATCTAGAGAAACATATTGAATTAATACGTAAAATCATCAGTGATAATGATGATGGAATTGCCTTGTATTAAACCAATGAATTACAACAGATTCGTACAGATGTTGCCAATTTGGTATCAAAAATAGCTAATGAAGCAACACAAAAACAATTATTATTGGCTGAAAAAACTGTACTAGAACAAGAATTGAAAGCACTGGATACTGCGCATAAGTCTGATGTTGATCAACTGCGTTCAAAAGTGGATTCGGCACCATTTTTTGAATCCGAATTATCACAAGCGATGCGTGAAATACAAAAACAATTTGAAAGGTTAACAGAACAACAATAACACCAATTACAAAATTGTTATCAAACGAAAGTCAGTGCATTGATTGAATATCTTTAACTCAAACCGTAAATTGAATCACAATGGCAAACAGAAAAAATTCATGAAATAACGCGTAGTGTTACAGATGTACGAGGCCGTTTGAGTAATTTGCAATTGGAAAATAATGAATTAGATCAACAAATAAACGACCCTAAGATAAAAATTACAAATACACGAATATGACGAGGATCAGCGTGTTCTCGATGAACAAAAACGTTATCGAGATGAAACTGAATGTATGAAAGGCTATATTGTGGATTTGGAAAAATATCGCACAACATTAGAGGAGGAAATTCGTTATCGTTTATTATTGAAAGGTTTAGTGGAGATCAGCTAGGCTTGAGACATTTTGCCGAAGAAGCGGAAAAAATAATAAATCGTGGAAGATCGCTATTAGATAGTCTCAATTTAAGATTAATGAAATCTCGTGGTAATGGTATGAGTGGAGATAGCTCCTATCAGAATCGCGAAGTCACATATATAACAACCTATTCATTAGGTCTCCTGGACATTCACGTTCAGCATCTCTATTACGATAAATGGTAACTCTAAATATCATACAATGGAGTTTAGCAAATCCTGTATTAATACAACTCATCTATTATAAATCAGACAACAGTATAATACTCTTATCACGTGTTTGGTACTGTATCTGACAATTGTTTTAGATACTCAATATTTCTTTAATAAAGTAAAACATTGTTCTATCAACTGTTTTGTCGTTGATTCTGAGAAAATCCAAATATAACATTGTATATGGAATCTATATGAAACTTTTTGTGATTATGTTTATTCAAACTGACGATCGCCTTGACTGTGATTGCTATTCACATGATAAATCTTATTTGTAGAAAAGTTATATTTTAAAAGTTATCAAATGGTTGTAAAAGATTATGTGAATTACTATTGCGCGTAAAATAATGACCCCTAGATTAAACTATTGTCAACATATATGTCGTGCTTGTTTCTAAACGGACGAAATTTAGTAGATGAATTTTTTCGTTCGTATGAATATTATATATCCAGAGGGTATGATATATCCACAAAGAATGTGGACAAATAAAAAATTATACACGAAAAAAAACATAATCTAAGCAAATATAAGTGTTTGTCTGTGCAGTATATTTGCCCACCTGTATTTGTGCTCTTTTCGAAAGTAACTTTTTGTTATTTCAAATATATCGATGATCGATTCATGCCTATATATTGACAGAGTGAGAAGTAAAGCATAAAATTCATATTCATCGGTTAATACAATGAGAAGACCGAAAAGATACAAAATGAGAAAAGAAAAATGAAAATCTGAGTTGTTATTAAAATGAAATATATCTTCCTGCATGATCAACTCATTGAAAGAAATTTGTGAACTTTGTGTCAAAAATACGCAACTGTTTGCGGTTTTATGTATAGTGGTAAATTACCGAAAGAAAAATATATGAATTAACAATACCGACTAAGTAAATAAAAAAAAAGTAATACTAAGTTACGATTAAAGTGGTAGTCTTATGTATAGAAATTATAAAAAGTTTTCCTTTTTCTTGTATACAGTACGATACATGTTATATGTGTTTATTACATCACTCCTTGAATTGTGTGCAAAGATGAATAAAGTGATATTGAAAGAGCTTTTTCTTTGTTGCACAGAAAAAGCATTTTTCGAGCAATTTTACACATAATAATCTAAAAGTTAGAGAAACTGAAATTATCCTTCATCAAAATTGAATACTAGTGTAAATTAAAATTCTCTTGTTGAATGGCTTCCGTATCTACTAGCAAAAGAATGCACACATGAGTTCTTACAAACTATTTTGAAAAGAGAAATTTAAACGAAAATTTTTATTATTTAAGATTATTTTTCAATCTGCTTTCGACTCATACAATATATTTCATGTTATTTGTGTACAATATATAGAATTCATTTAAAGTATTTTCTTGTTTGCTTTGGGTGAAATATATTTATACAACGTAGATTTTTTCTATTTCTGTTATTTGCAACTCATAGTAACAAATCTTTTCATAACTATAGAATTTGTACAATCTTATACGAATATTCTGGATTTTTTTTTTCGTCTCACCTATACAACTATAAAGAAAAATTCTTTGTCGAAGAAAACAAATGAACAAAAAAACAATTTTTCTTCACTCTGGGTAAACAGTACTTGAGGACAGATATTGAAAGAACGAATAAAATAGAAAAAAAAGTTTCTTTTTCATATTAAATTTTCTTCTTCGGAGAGCCTATATCTTTTAATTATTTCCCTATTCTTTCTTTTTTTTTCTCTCTGTCTATATACACATCTTGCTTTTTATTGTATGTTCTATGTATGTGGGTGTGCAAACTATTAATAACGTATATTATAGTGTGGTTTATATGGTTTTTGCATGTCTAATCATAAAAGAGAGAAAGCTAGACGATAAAAAGAAATATAGAAAAATGAAGAAAAAACAACAATCATTCATTCTAAAATTTTGCATGGTTTCATTTCTCTAGTTGCTTCTTGTGCGTGAACAACAAAATATTTTAATAAAAATAAAGTCTCTTATACATCACCTTATATCACTTTAGAACAAATTTTATTTAATAATTATAATTCAAAAATGTCACATTACGATGAAATGAGTTCAGCTTCCTACAGTTCCTATAAATCACAGATAGCTCCACGATCAACCAATGTTCAACGCCGTGCAGCAGGACCAGGAGGAATCATGACGCGAATGTATCAGTCATATTCTTCAAGTGGTGGATTTGGTGGTGGTAGTATCGGTGCTGGAATGGGCGGTTTGGCAAGTATTGCAGGTTTAGGAAATTTTGCCGGTATTCCATTACGTCCAAATCGTGGTACATCAGCTTTGGTTGCTGTCAATGAAACACGTGAACGTGAAAAACGAGAATTATGTCAATTGAATGATAAATTTGCTCAATACGTTGAAAAAGTACGATTTTTAGAAGCACAAAATCGTAAATTACAATTAGAATTAGAAGCTTTACAAAATAAATCTGGTCAAGGTTCATCAAAAATAAAAGAAATGTATGAAGTCGAAATGAGTGAAGCAAAAAAATTAATCGATGATACAACACGTGACAGAGCTGCGGCCGAAGTAAAAGCACGAGAAGCTGAAAAAGAAGCGGGACGATATCGTAAACGTTATGAAGAAATTTTAAACTCAAGAGAGGCTGACCGCGGAGCGATCGATCGTTTACAACAAACCATCGCCGAAAATGAAGCAGTATGTATACAGTTTTCACATTAATAAAATTCATTTCAGTTTAAAACATTTTTGTTTCTATTCATTTTAGCAAATCAACTTATTTCGTCGACGACTTGGTGATCTTGAAGATGAAGCAAGACGTTATAAAGCAGAAACTCAACGTTTAACATCGGAAATAGCTCGTCTACAAAATGAAATTCAAAATGAAACATTTGTTAAATCATCATTGGATACAGAAAAAATGGCATTGGAAGACGAGTTAGCAATGTTAAAACAAATGCGTAAGTTTTTCTTTCCTTATAACTTGAGAACTCATGTTGGTGTCAGATGTGTCTGCATGTTAGTTAACTTCATCTTCGTGTTTTTTGAGGCGTTAACTTGTTGTAAATATTACTCTTTTCTATGTTTCGAAAGACTTTTAGGGCTTTCCTTTGTCAGAAGGAAAAACGAAGTTTCAAGTTTAAAGGGAGTTTTGGGGGCAAAGTGGCTGACTGTTCTTGCACTTTCTGCTACCCTCTAAATTTCTAAAATATACGGCAGAAAAAGGACAAATTCTTTGTACGTCTTCTGGGAAAATGATTAGACGTGTCAGTTTATTACATGATCGTATTGAACGAATATTTGAATGAGAATATTTCTCCTTTGAATAGCGACTCTCAGGGTGGTCGTGACCAGTCAGACTTTTGTGCTCCACTGAGACAAGAATGTTTTTGTCAGAGAACGCAAGAAAAATCGAGGATATTTTATTTTTTTTGGGGTGTCGCGGGGGGGGGGGGGGGGGGGGGGGGGGGGGGGGGGGGGGGGGGGGGGGGGGGGGGGGGGGGGGGGGGGGGGGGGGGGGGGGGGGGGGGGGGGGGGGGGGGGGGGG